ATATCATCAAATAAATTTTTTATTATTATAAATAAGTCGACTAACTTGGTTGATAACTAAAAAGAGACCTGCATCAGATATTCAAGCCCAATTATAGTATTAATGTTTTTGATACGTATATCTTCTGTATCATTTTGAATACATATTATTAAATAGATTTTTATAACAGATTTATATTTTTGATGCTGTTGAGGCCTACTTTATTTAAAGATGATATTTCTTCACTGGCTTTTAAGTAAATGTCAAATCAAATACCAAAGTTCAAAGTGTACTTTTCGCACGCGCCAGATATGTGCCTTGGTAAAATTCGTTTTCCCATTTTACCCTTTTGTCTTCATTCTTACATAATATAATCAGTTATATATTATATCAATATGACAGTCTGACACTCCAATAAAAAATTATTTTGCAATCTATTATTTTTCTTCGTATAAGAGAACTTCAAGAATTCTATTCTATTTTCCAGACGCTCTTTCTTGATAATGATGTATTTTTATATTGCCAATTGATTCATACTATCGAACATGCCATTTTGTCTTTGATATAAAAATTATATTTAATGGTCTTGTAACTGATAACTTCGTAAGAATCGAAAACCTAGCATTATCAATTCACTGAATATAATATAAATTATAAATTTTAAAATATATAGAACCTTAACTAAAGTATTATTAAATGAAATTTAAATAATAAATCTTTATAAAATCATATGATAATGATCATTTATATAAATTATATGATCTATTTTCTTCATATTTATTTTCCTTCTATGTAGGTTTATTTAGACTATAAAAGTATTTTTTATACCGAGATGAAAAATTTCCAAATACAAGATGAAATTTTTGTGATGTAAATAACATTATTGTAGAGTACCTCTTGAGAATTCTTGAAATACTTGAACAAAGAGCAGGATAATATCTAATTCCTTTTAGAAAAAATATCATTATAATAATAATTGTATAAATATAGAAACATTCATTATATACATATTTTTTTCTACCCAATAGTTAGTCGACTCTAGTTTATTATATTATATTTTTTGATCATTTGTATACAAGAAAAAACATTAATGTATTTCCTATTGTACAATAAAAACAAAAATGTATTTATATCTTCGTACAAATAATAATTTAAATATGATTTGGAGACGGTGTGAAATATTTTTATGTTACTTTCTTTATAATTGTTAAGACTATTATTATATTATACAGTATAATATAATATCTGTCTCAATAATTATACCATTCCATACAATTCGAAAACTTGCATAAATCTCGTTATAGAAACTGATCAACTACAAGAAGAACTGACTTCATATAATAATAAAATAATATAGCTTGGGAAACTCGTTTAAAATTATTCTCAAGTAATTGTATGAATTACTTGAAGATTGTTTGAATATTTCAGTAAATCCATATTACCAGAAATTATAATTGAATTATTTAATAAGCAACAAAATGTGATTATTTCGAGAAAGAGGTATCTGACTTATCGAGTTATTTGTGAATTTGAATAAATTTATATAATCGCATGCATGCGTGTCCAAAGTAGAAGAAAATTTGGTAAAATACACTTGATTTTTTTTTTTTTTTTTTTTTTTTTTTTTACATTATCCAACAGCATTCAGAACATATTGTTGTTCTATGGCTGTAACTTGATTTATTTTGTAGATTTTTTATTTTTTAGAAAAATATATTATAGAAATATATAATACTAATCTAAATTATTTATTCAAATAAACAAATAAAGTATATAAAATTACATATTGTTCAGATACAATATTCTAAAAATTGTAAATACGTAATAATCCGTAAATTTTTCTTTCTACACATAACTACTTTCAAGCTCGATGAGGTACATAAGCTCGTTTTCCATTTGTTACTTAATATTTACAATTTATAATTTAATTAAGACATATATAATTCAGAAAACTTTCATTATCACTCTCTGTTAGTATTTATACATTTTATTACTGGGATAAGTAAAATTAATTTTATTAATGAACTCACCATTAGGCATTTAGCGCGATGAAATAAAGTATCCTGCCAAGAGGACTTAAGAAAACCTCATTTGATGTCGCATTTATTTTATGGGGACTATGTATATACATATACGTATATATACATGTATATATACATAAATATATATATATATATATATATATATAATATATATATATATATATAAATTATGATAATTTTATAGAATGTTACATCTATATATATATATATTAAATTCGTCAGGGCGGGCATCAATTGTAAATGTAATATACTTTAAAATATCTTTATAATTTTTATGTCTTCTTCATATACTAATTCAAAGTGGAGTAGCATTTAATAATTAGTATCATATTCACAAATAACTAATTCGTTGAACTAATTCTATTAAGTTTAAATAATTAGTATAGATTGAATATTGAATTGCCAGGTGAGAGTTCACATTTTTCAAACACTGGTCATTCGTGAGAGGAATGTTTCACATGTTTTAACATCAAATTTATTATAAATTTTTTCACATATATATCTAAACATAAGTGTGTTTATACAGCTATTATATAACAACTATAATTTTGAAGCTTTTCTCTGATTGCGTAATAAGATTGAGCTAATTAAATATTTTATATATCTTATTTTGTTCTATTTTTTAAATAGTTACCTTGGTTAATTTAAAAACTCACCTTATTTGTATTAAAACAATAATTGTAGTTTAGGTTGAATTATGATAAAAATTGATATTACAGAATAGATTATATATTTTATTTGTACATATTATAGTTTGCGTTGATGTATGAAATGAATTACTAGAAAAAAGTCAATTTTCTTAAAAATTGTTGTTACTACTTGCCCCGGTAGATGTTACAACTAGCTCCAATGTACAATGTACAATGGGTAAGTATTAACATCACACTTTTCCTATAAATTGATTAATTGTGAAATAACGAACCAAAGCATGCAATAATATGACAGTGTAAACGAAGATCTATCTGAAATCAGTGCATAACAATTATATGAATAATTTTTTTCTGATTTTGAGTATATTATAAATGCACAAAAAAACTTGTAGTTATATTAGAAACTAGTTGGTATTGGTATTTAGCCTTAAGGCAAGTTACATGAACTTCCCGATATGTGTAAATAATCGATTTAATCAATAATAAACAAATTAATTTATTAGTGATTAGAAGTATTCCTAGAGGATTTATTACACATAATTGAAAACGAACAAATTCGTTAACTTGGAGTATTTTCTAGAAGCAAATTTTCACAAATCAATAATTTTTAAAATTGAACCAGTTTTCGTAGGATGGTAATGGTTCATTAAGACCAAGTAATCTATCGTTATACCAAGTAAATCATCTAATTTTAATTTTAACAAACGTCAACAAAACTACTCATTTTCTCAAACTTTGATGAATTTTTAAATTTAAACTACTCGTAAGGCCGTAATATATCAGTAAGTTCTATAAGATGATATGTATCGCCAAAAAAAGTTTCATAAAAATTGGCTTAATTTTTTTTTCAACAGTTAATTACAAAAAAACGGTTCGGTAGATTTACACCTAAAACTATTCAGTATTATTCGCAATGTCCTTCGGTTTTTGATTTTTTAAAATCGAATGAGTAGGTAGAATGAGCTTAAATGTAGACGAAAAGGTTAACACTCTCTTTCAAATTACAAAGAAACGGCTAGGCAGATTGTCTCACAAAATTGACAAACTATAATGCTCATTGAGATACGTCGAATGGCTTTTAAATTTCTAAAATCGGTACAGGCGTTTTTGAGCAAACGTCAATGAAAGGTCTAATTTTGATAAATGTCAATTACCAATTTTTGCAAATTTTGACAAATTTTTGAAGCTAAACGAGTTGACGTAGGGCGGTAATATTTTAGTATGATCTAGAAGACCATGATATCTACCTCTAAAAATTATAAAAATCGTCGAAAATTTTTTTTTAAACTTTATTACAAGAAAACGGCCCGGCCGATCTTTACCAAAAACTTATCAGCACGATTCCCAACCAATATCTTTCGAACGATTTTCGAATTTTTAGAATCGATTCAGAATTGCGGGCTAAAACGTGGACGAATTTTTTTTTACTTTCCTACTATTTATAAAAAAACGGCTTGGACGATCGTCGCACTCAGAAACGCTAATCCTCATCGAGATACATCGAATGGCTTTTAAATTTTTAACATCGGTCGAACTGTTTTTGAGAAAACGTCGATTTACGGCAAAAAATTTGTTCACACACACGCACATACTTTTTCCAAATTTGGTCTCAGTCGATTCAGAATGGCTTGAAACGTCGAGAAAACATAAAATTAGCGAATCGGATTTTTTTATGAAAACATAAACTGAAGTTAATAAAATAGAAATAAATATTCCAATGGATATAACAAGCACAACGATTCTTCAAAGAAATCAAACAAACATACAACAGTTGTGGAATTATTTTTACTTTTCAGTGGATCTCAAGGTATATTAATTTAAAGAAAAAAAAACTGTTACAACCAGCCCCTAATTTCCTCATAATAAAATGAATATTATTTTCATAAAACGTTTAATACATGATTATATGTATACTAATGTATAATGAATATGCAGATAAAGCATCTTATGTTGTTCTCCATCTAAAATTTCAAGGAAAAAGTTGCTTATGTTACGTTATTTTGCATCATCTGTTTCTGATTAACAAGTCTAGTAATAAACCCAGTTGCAAACGGTATAAAATTTTCTTTTATTCCAAATATCATTAATTATTTGTTTTGCAGACTGTTATTATATTCATTTTATTTCCTTTACAGATAACTTGCCGACATCAAACGCAAGCCATGCGTTCTTGCAAAAGATGTAAACAAACAGTGCAGAATGGGTTACCCGAATGAGAAGAATGCCCGAGTTCTCGGAGACATCCGTTCGTATTATAACGGAAGCCAATGTCAGCAACGAAACGGAAATCATCGTCAACGGCGATGTGCGGCCCTTCGACACGGAAGCCGCCAACATCACGGTCGCCAATGTCGCGTTGGCGACGGCCACAGTTCACGATTGGAAGAATCTGCTGCTGTTGGCCTTGTTTTGCATCATCATTGTGGTGACGGTGATAGGAAATACTCTTATTATCACTTCAGGTAATAAATTTCATTATTAACTTCCCGTAGGATAAGTTATAGTAATCGCGAAAATATCGACTAGCTGTAAGTGGAATTCTGTCTTAAGGCAATTAAGACATCATGCCTTAAGGCAAATTGCTGGAACTTCCCGTACCGCAATTAAAAATTCGAATAATTAAAAATAATAAATAATAATCAATAAAAGTTGATCATTGATTTGAAACCTTTAATAAAATTTTCAACCATATTGAATCATTCTATCTTCAATCATTTATTTTGAAATATTTTGGAAATTCTGAACTTTTTTTCAAAGCAATCGTACTGCTTTATTTGCATAAAGACGAAATATCAAAGCGCGTAAGCGCCGCGTCGCCGTCTAACGCGTAAACATTGGTACGGAACCCATAAGAATGTAATCGAAATTCATACTTATTTTTAAAATCTCTATAAAATATCTGATAATTTGATGTGCATATGTCTAATGTTCATTTTTGACCGTCAAACGGCATTTTTTTTACTTTTTTTATTTAGATCTCCGAAACCGCTAGACCTGCCTTCATAAAAATTTGATCAATTTTTCATCTTGTCAATACAAGTAAAATGTATTTTGAATTATTCAAATCGGAAGCTCCATTCTCTTAAAAACTGAGTTACCGTTTTTGGCACTTTGTAAAGTAATCAGCACGTCTTATCAATACGAATCGAATGTTTTTTGAATTATTCAAATCGCTTCATCCGTGTTCCCGAAATCGTCGACGAAAATTTGTATCCGCACACACACACACATGCATCCATTTTTTCTAAGGTATGCCAAAATGTTCAGATATATAAAAAAATTATTTTCGATTTGTTTGCGATTACTTAAAAATGAAAATTTTAATATATCTTTACGTTTCAAAAGTTTCTGAACATTTTGGTATACCTTAGATAAAATGGATGTATGTGTGTGTATGTGCGTGTGTGTATGTATGTGCGAATACTATTCTTTGTCGACGATTTCGAGAACAACCAATTTGAATGATTCAAAAAATATTCGATTCTTATTAATAAAGGGACGATCTGATTAGTTTTTGGCAAGGCCAGGTTTAGCCATTCCGAAGATACGGGTCAAAAACTGCCAAAAATATTAATTTCAAAAACGGCAATGATTCAAAAAACATTTTATTTATATTGACGGAATAAAGAACTGGTGAAATTTTTGTAAAAGCAGGTCTAACGGTTTCGGAGATCCCATAAAAAAAGTGAAAAAAATACCATTTGGCGGACAAAATGATAGACTGAACATATGCACATCAAATTATCACATATTTTTATAGATACTTTAATAACAAAAACAAATTTTGTTTACTTTTTAATGGGTTCTGCACCAATGTTTATCCGTTACTCTGCAACGCGGCGCCCACGCGCTTTTATATTTTGTTTCTACGCAACTAACGTATCGCGATTGCTTTAAAAAAAATCAAAATTTTCTAAATATTTTAAAGTATAAAAAGAACCAAATTTTTCGAAAAGGTCAAGTTTTTTCATTAATCTCAAATATAGATTTTTTCAGACTTCTAAAAGAAAATCGAATCTTTTTTGAAAGTTTTAATTTTTAGCACGTGAAGTTTTAGCAATTTGTCTTAAGGCACGATGCCATGCACCACTAGTATTTATTTTTATTTACCTATGAATTTAGAATTTATACATTGGGTAGGGCGAGGCGCAAAGTTTCAATTTGACTTCCATACTTTACTTGCTATAGAGATAATGAAGGTGGTCCTTTTTACCCTTGGACTTTTAAGCTCCACTCTACTCTAGATGAACTACGACATAACATATCATGTATCAAACAAACAACTATCGTACTATTTTCAGTATAATTCCTAGTTAATTCCTAATCGTAGAAATATGTTTTTATAAAATTTGTCATCTGTTCCTTTTTGCACTATGGAATGGCCTCTCAGGAGGCATGCAGTCCTAATGTCTTTTTTAATTTTAAAGAGATTTTAAGAAACAAAAACAATGTGAAACACAAATTTTATGTGAACCTTTTTAACTTCTTTTAACTTAAAGGAGAAGTTTGTTTCCGCTAATTTTATGTTTTCTCGACGCTTCAAGCCATTCTGAATCAAATGATACCAAATTTGAAAACAGTATGTGTGTGTATGTGTATGTGAACAGAATGAACAGATTTTTTACCGTAAATTGACGCTTTTTTCAAAAACGGCTGGATCGATTGAAAAAATTCAAAAGTTATTCGATGTATCTCGATGAGGACTACCGGGTGTCAGTTTTGCGCGACGATCGGCTGAGCCGTTTTCTTGTGAATAGCAGAAAAGTGAAAAAAAATTGTCCACGGTTTAGTTCTCAATTCTGAATCGATTTTAAAAAATCAAAAACGATGTTCGAAAGATATTGGTTGGGAATGATACTGACTAGTATTTGGCAAAAATCTACCGTGTTCTTGAAATTAACTGTTGAAAAAAAAAATTTGACGATTTTTATGAACCTTTTTCGGTGATAGGTATCAAGGAATTTATGTATATACTAAAATATTATGGCTCTGCGACGAATAGTTTAATAGTCAATATTTGTGGCATAAATTTCTTTTGTGATGTAATGAGTCAAACATTATCAATTCATTAAAATTAAACATAATAAGCTGCAGGGCATACAAGCACATGTTTGTGCAATATAATTGATATAATTACAGTTAATTTAAATATGTTTGAGCATATTCTATTCGAAATCGAAATGTTTAGATTTAATTGAAAGCGGTAACTTTATTGTTGAAATAAACAGTTAACAATTTTATCTAAATATCTGAATTTAGAGTCAATTCTTACACATTTCAGGAAGTTTATGCAACTTGCCTTAAAGCTAAATGCCTCTTTCAACTAGTTTATAAAGATTTTATTCTATACTCATATAACCTTGATCTTATATTTTAAAAAAAAATATTCATCACCAATAAGTATTAATTTATATTTATCCCTTATTTAATTACTAATTTTTTCTAACTTAATTTACTTTTATATTTTTTATTTCTCATTGTTTATACCTCTGGCAATGTAAAGGTTTAGTTAGTCCATTTAATCCCACCCATATTATATGTAAGCTTTTATAGAGGTTATATAAATAAATTGTTAAAACCAACTAAAAAAACAATATACGAGCCTAAAAATTATATTCGGGTAATCACAAAAGCTCAAAATCAGAAAAACTACCATCGAAAAAAAACTTCTAGTATAATTGAGATGATGGCTGTCGTCACATATGTTGCTTTCTACTTTAAAATTGTGGCATTAAAAAATTATATACTTGTTTTGGAGAAAATGATGCTGGTTCTTTTTACCCTCGGACTTTTAAACCGCGCTCTACCCTATATTAAGTAACAGCCTAGAAAACGTATTTTTTATATTTTTTGTGGAAGGACAAGTAATAAAATTATACTAGTGGAAGTTACTTAGGGTATGGCCATTTTTCTATAGCACGTAGAATTTGAAGCTGGTATATAAAAAAGCACTTATTGTACATGCTTTTAGCTAGAGCTATAGCTCAATATGTAGGTAATTTTAAGCATTGATTTTTGTAGGATTGGCGAGTATTTGGATGAAATCAAAATTTATAGTGGAGTTTACTCCTTGAGCAAACGATTCACAGTTATTCAATGGCAAATGCTTTCTAAAATACAAGTATTATAACAAATAGTATCATATTTTGTTCCAGTATTTATTGATAACGAGTTATGAGACTAAAATATTATTGCTATATTTTATTAAAACTTCTACAGCTTGTATTGGCATGTAATATCCTGACTTACATATTTCAAATAGTTTTTACAAAGTCTACAAACATCCCCGGTTCAGTCAACTGTGTGTACCGAAGATAAATTGAATATTTTCCAATAAGAGTACATGCTGTTAAATGCGCTTTATTTGATATTTCTTATAATAAAATATATCATATATATATATATATATATATATATATATATATATATTGTATGAGCGTGATATAATGATTTACAAGCATGAAGTACTTCCATCTGTATGATTACTTGATTTGGAATTATATTGATGATTTTGTATGATTTTACCTTGTTTGCAAATTTGCCTAGAATATGGAAATTAATAAAGAGATCTAGTGCACCACCAAATTATACTAGTTGGTATTGGTATTTTGCCTTGAAGCAACATGGACTTACCGATATGTGTAAATAATCGACTTAATCAATAAAAAAAATAATTTATGAGTGATTAAAAGTATTCCGAGTGGATTTATAACACATAATTGAAAACGAACAAACTCGTTTATTAAGATCAAGTACTCTATCGTAATACCAAGTAAATCGTCTAATTTAAATTTTAACAAACGTCAAAAAAACTTTATTTTTAACACTTTATTACAAGAAAACGGCCCAGCCGATCTCTATGAAAAACTAATTAGCACGATTCCCAATATCTTCTGAAGGGTTTTTGCATTTTCATAATCGATTCAGAATTGCGGGCTAAAACGCGGACGAAAAATTTTTCACTTTTCTGCGATTTACAAAGAAACGGCTCGGCCTATCGTAGCGCAAAACTGACAATAGTCCTCATCGAGATACATCGAACGGCTTTTAAATTTTTGAAATCGGTGCAGCCGTTTTTAAGAAAACGTGGATTTACGGCAAAAAATCTGTTCACATACACACACACACATACTTTCACTAAATTTGGACATAAAATTAGCGAATCGGATTTTTTGATAGAAACATAAACTTCTCCTTCGGGGAGCTAACAAGGTACAAAGTTAATATTACTAATTTCATGATCAGGAAATATAGAAACATGAAAGGTTGGTTTTATATAAAAAATCATTAATTATTACTAGAAAATTTTACTTCAAAACTATTTTCAAACCTCCCTCCGATAATGTGTTACCGAATGTCTTTATTTCTTATCCAATGCCTTATTTCTTATAAATATATGGTCTGTAGATGGAATAGACCGAAAATCGGAGAT